ACCCCAAGTTGTGAGTGAACCAGGCTTCAAAGAATTCAACCAATATTTCGCCTTATCCTTCAAAGTGTATGGAAACACTCTCATTTGAAATTGATCTTCCATCACACTTGTCAAGGGAAAAGAGCTAACAACATTAAAAATATCCTTTATATGATTTAACGGATCTTCATTAGGTAAACCATAAAAGGAAGGTAACATATTAAGATGAGAAGATTTAAGCTCATAGTTTCGAGCTACAGTGGGCAGCAAAATGCTTGAAGGGGATGCTGGAATTGTTGGGATATCAAGGTCTCCCATGAACTCATTGGCAGCCATCATTTCTTCTTCTTCTTGGTATGAACTTGGTTTCGAATTTGAAGGTGAGGAACCTGGAAGATCAGTGTGGAGAGCAAGACTTGTAAATGTGGCAAGAGCTTGCTCTTTTGCAGTTGACAACTCTCTTTCTAATTGGTTCTGAATTTCAGAGATCACCCGATTGGGTTGCAACGATGGTCCTGCCTTCAAAGATCTGGAATGTTGGAACGAAGACCTCACTTGTTCAAGGAATGGATTTCTAGACATAAACTACCTGAAATAGAAAAAAACTTGAATTAATTAATAATACTAAAAGAATTGGGTAACCTTGGGCACATAACCAGGGAAGAACTTTTGTTCAGTCCCCGGCAACGGCGCCAAAATTTGTTGTTAACATGTTAACTCGCAATTGTACGGGCCAATTAGTAGTATAAAAAGACAAGTACGAGGTCGTACCCACGAGGACTGAGAAGTTCAAATTAGTTATGTACTTAGATTACCAAATTCAAGAAGTAGGAAGTGTTGTGAAAAAATAGACAAGACTTTCACTCACTCCCCTAATGATCTTGTTGTTGATGGACTTTCTGACCAACACAATGATGGATGAATCACACACACACTCTTGAGAAACCAACCAAGCACAAAGTGACACAAGAATTTATAGAGGTTCAGCAATTGCCTACATCCTCTTGGTGATCCCCTTGAGAAATTCACTAATGAAAGAATAAGTTACAACTTTGGTTTACAAAGAAACCCCCTTTGAACTCTATTCTCTGCACAAGCTCTCTTTTCTCTCTCACCCCTTTGCTCAACACTTTGATGCACTTATGAACACTTTCTCCCACTTGGTGTTTCCCTCCTTGGTGTCTAGACTCTCAAGACTACAACTCAGCTCCTAACTTGAACTGATTGCCCTCTCTCTCTTCCTCCCTTGGTGAGTTTAACCTCCTTTGGACACAATAGCTCCCAGCTACTTGACCACACCTTGAGATTAACCACACTACTTGTTGTCTTGCTTTCTCTTCCTATAATACACAAACCTTTGGTCATGTGAGAAGGCTCTTTCGTGTCCAGCACGTTCTCACTTTAGTCACCAGCCATAATCCATGGATTAGGCTAGCTAAAGCAAGCATTAATGCCTGCACTCATAGCCAACTTTCTCTAGAACCAAAGAGTAAGATCACTTTGAGACAAGTCAATAATTAACCATAAATGCTCTCCCAACTTTCCAGCTGATTGCCAACCCTCATTTAACTCTGGGATGACTCATAAAGTCCTTGCAATTCGGTGGAAAGTGATAGCACACGAAAGAGGAGTTGAAAGCACGTGGGGAACCAAGACAGCACAGCTGGAGCGACCGGTCGCACGTCCTTGGTGACCGGTTGTTGTGTAGATACAGCTGCATCCTCAACTTGTGATACTCGCAAGTGCACGAGCCGTTTGGTAGTATAGCATATGTAAGTGCGAGGTCGATTCCACAGGGATTGGTGATTGAATGATCCAATTTAGTTTCCCTACACAAAACAGAAATGAAAAAGAAAGGAAATAAATAAAACAAGGAAGAAAGAAATAACTAACTCAAGTAGATAAGTTCCCAAGTTCAATTAGATTAACGGATTGATTCTAGCTAATGTATGATTAAGCCATGGTGTTTGGTCATAACCTTGTGTTTCGAAGATTTAGGAGTTCCTCCTTGAGGAAGAGCTTGTTGGACAACGACTTCCCTGCAAACATCTCTTTGAGCTTCTCCCATGTTTGCTTCGTTGTGTCTTGCATCACCTTGATGTGCACCTCATCTGCGATGTAGTTCTCGATGGCTCTTCTAGCCAACTCGTCTAAAACACCCCACTCCGCGTCTGTCATGGTTGCTGGCTTCTTCTCTTTGCCACCCAAGACAACACTGAGATTTTGTTGTGTAAGGGCTAACTTCACCTTCATGCTGACAGATTGTGGTAGCCTCTGCTGCATAGAGCTACTTCCACCTTCAGCTTTCTTGTCACTTGCCATCTTCAACACACTAGTACTTGCTGCTTAAACACAGCTCTAATACCACTTGTTGTGAAAAAATAGACAAGACTTTCACTCACTCCCCTAATGATCTTGTTGTTGATGGACTTTCTGACCAACACAATGATGGATGAATCACACACACACTCTTGAGAAACCAACCAAGCACAAAGTGACACAAGAATTTATAGAGGTTCAGCAATTGCCTACATCCTCTTGGTGATCCCTTGAGAAATTTACTAATGAAAGATAAGTTACAACTTTGGTTTACAAAGAAACCACCTTAGAACTCTATTCTCTCCCCAAGCTCTCTTTTCTCTCTCACCCCTTTGCTCAACACTTTGATGCACTTATGAACACTCTCTCCCACTTGGTGTTTCCCTCCTTGGTGTCTAGACTCTCAAGACTACAACTCAGCTCCTAACTTGAACTGATTGCCCTCTCTCTCTTCCTCCCTTGGTGAGTTTAACCTCCTTTGGACACAATAGCTTCCAGCTACTTGACCACACCTTGAGATTAACCACAGTACTTGTTGTCTTGCTTTCTCTTCCTATAATACACAAACCTTTGGTCATGTGAGAAGGTTCTTTCCTGTCCAGCACGTTCTCACTTTAGTCACCTACCATAATCCATGGATTAGGCTGGCTAAAGCAAGATATTAATGCCTGCACTCATAGCCAACTTTCCCTAGAACCAAAGAGTAAGATCACTTTGAGACAAGTCAATAATTAACCATAAATGCTCTCCCAACTTTACAACTGATAGCCAACCCTCATTTAACTCTAGGATGACTCATAAAGTCCTTGCAATTCGGTGGAAAGTGATAGCACATGAAAGAGGAGTTGAAAGCACGTGGGGAACCAAGACAGCACAGCTGGAGCGACCGGTCGCACGTCCTTGGTGACCGGTTGTTGTGTAGATACAGCTGCATCCTCAACTTGTGATACTCGCAAGTGCACGAGCCGTTTGGTAGTATAGCATATGTAAGTGCGAGGTCGATTCCACAGGGCGCCCAAACCTTGTGACCGGTCGCGTCCTGTGACACCTGCATCCTTAATGTGAGCCAATTTTACAACAGGAAGTTAAGTCTAAAACAGAATTTAAAGCAAGAGTGAGTTTGGAAACAAATTAAGCAAGATGAAATTGGTGTTTGGAGTGAGAGTGCTTGTGATTGTGAAAAGAAATGAACAAAAGTAAATTGCGAATGAAAGCAAGTAAACAAGTGCAGCAAATAGTGGTCTTAAGGGCTGGAAAACATATTTGGAGACTAGGGCATTTGATTCACCATAACAATTCAAATTCAAGCGACAAGTTAACAATCACCTGAATTGATTAATTCAACTTCTGGAGTTCGTTCTTTCTCATGTATGATTATCCATATGGTGTTAGGTTTTAATCAAGTACTCAGAAAACACAACATAGCTATGATGTCTAGTCTAAGCTATGAATCTGAATCCATTGAGAACAAGAAGAACACTAAGGAACTAAACAAACATTTAAACATGGTATTTGTCCTAAATGCATACCCACTCGTTCACTAATCAGTTCAAGAGTCATATGGTGTTTATGTAAACTTGAACAAGATAACCAACATGCATGTGTTAATAATGGCCAGTTATCTAAACATGCATAAAGATTCAACTAAGAACAAGTGAATGAGACCAGAAAACTAGAAGTAATCAACAAGAGTAACATTAACTTGAAAACATGAAACTGTCTTGTTAGGTTACATCGAAGCCCTAGGTATTTATTTAGCTGCTCATAATGGGAAAGAAACTTAGACAGAAATGAGAAACATAATGAATGCAATAAGAATAGAAAAACCCCTTTTCTGAAGTTCTTGTGGTGTCCAAGACTTCTCCAAGTGCTTCTCCACGTTTAATGCTTCTCCAAGAGTTTCCCTATGTCTAGAAGGATGTATGACAGCTAGGAGGTGATTTGGGATAAGTTTGGGTGAGTGGTGATGGCAGAGAAAGAGAAAATTTGTAGGGAAATAGAAGGATGATTTCTGGAGTGTAAGGGGTTGATGGAAGTGTATGGGGCTGATGGAAATGTATGGGGATGGAAGGAGAAGGTTTTGTGGGGTTGTGAATTCCAAGATTTGCACACCTTGAATGTGGAATGGAAGTGGTATTTATAGGGAGAGGGAAGTGAGAAATCAGAATTGAATATGGCTAATGCCTACAACACTTGCAATTGAAAATGAGTTTCTTGGCTGCTGCTCTTCCCACCAGAATCAATACCTCATGCAGAGCTCATCATGACCAAGCTTCCAACAAGAAACAATAGCTCATGCCTAGCTCATCATGACCAAGCATCAATCAGCTTATCCTTAGGTCAGTATGATGTGTAATTTCATGGGCTCACGATTTGGGCTTGCCTTACTCAAATGACGACTTTGAGCTGTCTATCTTGAGGTTCAGAATGTGTTCTTTCCAAGCACACGTGAATTGGCCCAATCCAAGCTCAGATGAAAAAGATATGTCCGAAATGAATTTGTAACTCAGTCTTCAGTTTTTACACATTGTTTTCACCATTTTACTCAAAATCCCTCAAGTGTTACCTAGAGCTCAATGAACTGAATGACAAACACAAAAGAGGTTAAAAGCACAAGTTTAATTAAAAAAATATAACTAAATCATAAGGTAGAAGGGTACAAAATGACATACAATTGTGAATCGAACAACTAACGACATAACCTAGAAAAAGTAACTTGTTCGTGACAAAAGTACACTTTTCAGGTCAATAAACAGCTTGTTCTCTTGCAAAATTGTCAAAACTTCCTTCAAATATATCAGATGCTCCTTGGTTTTGTTGTAAATCAGAATGTCATCAAAATAAACTACAACAAATAAACCAATAAAGGGATGCATAACCTGATTAATAAGTCTCATAAATGTTCTCAGTGCGTTTGACAACCCAAACGACATCACCAACCGTTCATACAATTCATCCTTGCTCTTAAAAGCTGTCTGCCACTCATCTCCAGGTTTAATCCGAATCTGGTGATACCCACTCCTCAAATCAATTTTGGAAAACACTTTAGAGCCCTCCAAAACGTCCAACATGTCCTCCAGGCGTGGAATTGGAAATCTGTACTTGATGGTGATTTTGTTGATTGCACGGCTATCAACACAAATGCGGCATGTACTGTCCTTCTTTGGTACCAACAATACTGGAACTGCACACGGACTCATACTCCCTCGAATAAACCCCTTTTGCAGCAAATCTTCTATCTTTTCTTTAAGAATCGCATTCTCTTTAGGGCTCATACGATAGTGGGGTAGATTGGGAAGACTAGCTCCAGGCACCAAATCAATTTGATGTGGTATATGTCTCATGGGTGGTAGCTCATTAGGTAAATCATATGAAATCAACTCCTGAAAATCAATTATAATTTTCTTTACCTCTCTAGGGCAAGACACACCCTCTAGCAAGGGATCCAATAACCACTTCACATACACAAGGTACACGATATCAACTTCTTCAATATCTTCCTCAAACTCTTGTTCACTGTTTGACATCCCTAGAAAACTCGAGTTCTTTGGTTTCTCTAATTTTCCAGATTCACTAACAGGAGCCATAGCAATCTTGTGGGAACCCCACTTGAACAAATACACATTATCACGTCCTTTATGTGTAGCATCTGTATCATACTTCCAAGGACGCCCTAGTAATACATGACTAGCATCTATATCAATCACGTCACATGAAACTTCCTGTTTATAATGCTTGCCAATGAAGATGGGAACTTTGCATATTTCTGTCACCTGAACCACATGTCCTTTACCCACCTCAATGCATATGGAGACTCATGCTTTTGTGTTGGGAGCTGTAAACAATCGACCAATTTCTTCGACACAAGATTCTCGCAACTGCCACTATCCATAATCACACTGCACACTCTATTGTCAATGGCGCAAAGTGAACAGAAAATCCTATTGCGTTGCCCCGCCTCCTGTTTTGGGGATAAGAGGACTCTCTACAACACTAAATTCACCATCTCATCACCATCCTCATCTGCAAATTCTGCTCTTTCATAATCTGCATCAAAATTACCTTCCTCATCTCCGTCTTCGGTCGCCTAAGCTAGATTGACCTGTTTGTTACAGGTTGGGCACTCATTGGAGTGATGCCTGGTTTGGAATACCTGTAACAAATATCATTCATCAGCCTAGCATACGGAATGCTCCACTTCTTGCAATATCTTCCCCAATTTATGCTACCTATCTTCATCGCGTGGGGTAAAATTCTTTTGTTTATCATTCCTATTACTCTCCCCAGGATCCTATTGCACACCCTTATTTTTCGCCATGGATGGAGCAGAGGATTCATAACTGCACTTCTTGATACCACTAGTGCTCGACCCAGTATGCTTATCTTTCTTTAGTAATTCAGCCTTCAATGTCATATTATGTGCCTTATGAACTGTCCACAAAGTCTGAAGCTCAATTTTCTCCTACAAAGAACTTCTCAACCCAATGATAAAACCTAGCAACCATCTGACCATCTGTTTCCTCTAAATTATTGTGCTCAGCCAAACACAAAAATTCATCTGTATACTCAGAAATGGCCTGATTGCCTTGGTGGCAATTATGGTAGAGTCAATACAGGTATTGCTTATAATCTGCAGGTAGGAATCTCCCTATCATCAGTTGCTTCATACGGCGCCAAGTCTTCACTGATTGCTTACCCTGCCGCTGCCATGATTTTTGAAGCTGGTCCCACTATACAACCGCACTACCCTACAGACGAAAGGCAGCCATCTTCACCATCTTCGTCTCTGGAACCTCCATAATTTTGAAGAAACTCTCCACCTCTACCAACCAGTCAAGAAAGTCTTCAATATGTAAGTGGCCATTAAAGTATGGAATATCAGCCTTAATCCGAAAATCATCTATGTATTGATTACGATTATTCTGATTAGGTGCAATCGGGGGCTGTTCCTGTAGTCCTTCTTTAGACTCGTTGTCACTCTTAACAATATGACATTGTATGCGGGCACCTCTATTAAGCTCAATAGAGGGTTTTGGTTTCCCATTCCCAACAATAAACGTCGAACCTCCTCCACTGCAGCAGAGAAGGTCTCAAACTCGGCACAAATAACAACTTCCCCGGTGCCACAGGTCCCATCACCTTCATCTTGGTTGTTCCCTAGGCCCGCCATACCTGCTCTGATGCCAACTGATGCAGTGTGACAATTGATCGGCTAAAACCTTAGCCTAAAACATGTAACTCTGGAATCCACCAGGAAATATGAGAGAACCTCATGTTTTTTTGATATTATGGTAATAAAAACATAACCCTAACCACGGGTAAAGTATGTTTAAATACTCCTAGAAACCCAAGGAATAACAAAGGAATTAAAATAGGAAAATAACAAAGTTTCCAAAAACTTTAAAAACTTTAAAACTGAATTTCGGGCTAGTAAACAATCTCAGATGCCCGAAAAAGCCAATACATCATGGCAAAGCAATGTGTTTTACTCGTAAAGCCGTTCTCTTTGAATCGACCGGTCATGGGCCCAATTCTGAGCTCGGAGCCCAAATCTTCTATTTCGTTAAGAGGATTTTTTTTATTTTAGGAAACTATATATGGTAATAATATAAGGGCCCACTTGGTTCAAGGGTACGCTTTCCACATTAGTATCCCTAGCAAATTAAAAAGTGACACATTTCACCCTTTCAAGACTTTGAAAAAAAAATTAAAAAAATTCACCTCTGCCCCCTCCTCCGCTGCAACTCAAACCCCTCCCATTCTCTCTCTTCTCACATGCTCTCTCTCTCTCTCTCTCTCTCCCCTTGCTACTCAAATCATCTCTCTTTCTCTCTCATCTCTCCCTATTTTCCTCTCTTATCTCACCGACCCTCTACCTCTTGTATCTCCTTCATTTTTTCTCTCTCTTGTTGCCGGTAACAATGGAGGCAAGTTCATGGGCTAGCCACCTCAAATCTAAAGGGCAAGGTCGCGAGCCAGCCACCTCAGATCTAAAGCCCAACGATGATGTATGAGAGGGAGAGGGACGTAGAGGATGGAGAATGGAGGATGGGGTGCGACTTTCACGACGGAGTGGGGAATAGAGGTTGTAGTTGGAAAGAGAAATGGCTTGGATGTGTGAATACCAAAAAATACATTTTTTTTAAAAGAGATGATTTGAGTAGCAAGGGGAGAGAAAGAGCGGGTGAGAAGAGAGAAAATGGGAGGGGTTTGAGTTGCAGGGGAGGAGGACATGGAGGAGGGGCGGCAAAGGTGAATTTATTTTTTCAAAGTCTTAAAGGAGTGGCAGGTGTCACTTTTTAATTTGCTAAGGATACCGATGTGGAAAGCTTACCTTGACATCCCCATGCCAGAGAAGGTTTTCTCGAAGGGGAGGTGGGTTGCAAAGGTTGATTATGGTTTGGGGGGGAAAGAACTATATTAGGAAACTATTACGATCAGCATATCATACAATAACCATTTATTAGGAGGAAATCACGTGATTGATACGCCTAGAATCATGGTGGTGATATTCGTGGAAGATGCTCCTGTCTGAGAGAGAGAGAGAGAGAGAGAGAGAGGCAACGGAGGCGGAGGCGGAAGGGGAGAAGAGAGGTTTTTAATTAATAATGTCAAAAAAAAATATAAAGGACCAAATGTGATAATTTCGCAAACTTCAAGGATCATTACCTTGAATTTAAAAAAATTAAAAAGCCTTAAATACCAGGACTACGCGCTCGAGCCTTTTCATATATGCACATTTTCTTGCCTTTTTTTTCCTGTATGTTTATTTCATTCAGCAAGAGAAATTTGGAAGATGATTTCATAGCCATCTTAGATTGGAAGATGATTTCATAACCTAATGGAGATGAAAATTTGAGTTGGATAAGTTTGGAGGCCAAGAAAAATTTAAAAACAAGAAGGAAAAAAAAAGGTTGGGATCTAGGGAGATCATGTTGAAATTGTCTCTTTGACATGGATTGTTATCATTTTTAAACCCTTTTTGGTTATCATCTTGCCATCCTCCACCACACCCTTTTTGCTCTAATTTTGTAGCATATCTGACTTCTAATTTCCATATCCAATAAAAAACGAAGAAAAAGCAAAAGACGGTGATGTCTCCAACATCTTTGAGCAAAATCAGATGTGGGTTTGCTACACCACACCGTGAAATTCTTTCACATATTTGGTGAGAGAGAGAGAGAGAGAGGTGGTGGATTGGGTTTTCATTTGGCTGCTCGGGAGAATATTATTTATTATTTTAATTATTTTAAGATGAGTTAACAGTTTTAGACTCTGTTATGTGGGACAGGGAGGGGACACCAATTTGGGACAGTGAATCCACTCCCCCTAACCAAACATGTGAAATTTAGAATAGGGACAGGGAGGGGACACCAATTTGGCAACACTGGATCTGCTCCCCCTAACCAAAAATTTAGATAATTGCATTTCCTGGAAACATGGAATTAATATTCTTCATTCCCATCTCGTGGAATTAGATATGAAAATTTATTTCCAAGAAATTCTATGCTCGAACCAAACGGACCCCAGGCGAGCACGACATTGCTCCTAAAAAGCCCTTTTTAAAATTAATTTTTGCCAAAAAAACAGTTCACAATAAGCCGTGACTTGTTCCCAAGCTTAAAACCCTACCAAAATCCGAGTTTCCTAGCATTCGACCCAAAAGGAAGAAATGTCAGTTTCTGAGGAAAATGCCAATATCCGAGACCACCATCGCCGGTTGCTGGCGGCGAAATACGAGCTGAGACGAAATCTGTACAAGGCCCTCTGCAAGGACCCAAGCCTTCCCAGCGACCTGCGCGAGGAGAACCGCTTCAAGCTCTCCAAGCTGCCCCGAAACAGCTCCTTCACGCGCGTCAGGAATCGCTGCATCTTCTCCGGCCGGGCACGCGCCGTCTACGAGACCTTCCGTATGTCCCGTATCGTCTTTCGTACTCTGGCCTCTAAAGGCATGCTCAATGGCATTAAGAAAGCGTCTTGGTAGCCACCGAACCGGTGCGTTTCTAAGTTCTTCGTCTCCATTGCTTTTATCTTTGTTTGTTTGCAATTTTGGTGTTTCCGGAAATGGGTTTTTTAAGAAATTGAAATGGTGTTTATTCGGAGCTTCATGTCCGTTAAATTTCATGTTTGTTTTGTTGCCATTTTTTCGATTTATTTATCTGCCATTTTTTGGTTTCCTGAAATGCCTTTCATATGAAATCGAGACGCAAGTGCTGATGACATGACGAAAGTGTTTAATTGGGAAATGAAAATCTTCGTAGCTACTAAAATGCTAAGTTTTAGAGTAGATGAAGTTGTGTTGTTAGAGCTAGAGAGTTTCAATGTGTAACAGGAGTTTGGGTTTCTTGGCTAGTATGACAGTGACGCATCTATATTGAAATTTTGTTTTCTTTGTGAAAATGCGTCTTTAAGTTGATTTTTTACATGAATTGGCTGGCCAATTTTATGTGGTTTTGCTCAAATAAAGGTTAAATGCCTTTGCCTGTGAAGTCTAATTCTTGTAAGAGGAAATTGCCAATAACGGTGTCAGTTATTCTGGATTCTAAGGATTTGGACACTTACCCTGTTGGAAAAACGTTGAAAGGTTGTTGACCCAGGCTCAGAAATCGGTCATCTTGGATTTCAATAATCACCATTTCTAGAAACGTTTTGTAGTATCTGAGAAGGAGCGAATCGGAACGGAGAATGAACTGATGGTCAATTAACTTTTCAACAACTAAGGAAGAAATTGGATGTGATAGATACAATTTTGCAGATGTAACTTTTGAAACAAGGAAAGGCCCTTCTAGTTCGAAGGTCACTATAATTGGCAGTTCTTATGACATTCTTCAAGAGTAGAAAGGTCAGGAAGAGCAGGGTTTTTAGTACATGGTCACTGACTCGTAGTTCAGTGCAAGGTCCAGTGTTGACAGGCAAGAATAGCAAACTGGTTGCAAAAAGAAATACAAGGTTGTAGGCCTTGACGACAGCAGGGATGGTAACCCAGTCTTTTCTAGATAAATTTGTTTGGATTATTAGGGATCTGACTGACCCAAAAAACAAACTAAGGTTGTATTTGGTGTTAAATTCAAGAGATATGCCTTGTGCTCAGAGGAAACAAAGTTTGGAAGAGTTAGTTTGTCAATTCAATGGCATGAGGGTGGATATTTGCAAAATGAAGTCCTGGTTTACTAGCAAGAAATCGGTTTTCTTGAATCCTTGTAGGGTTGAGACCACTCAGAGTGCATTTGGCAATAAAGGAGTTCTTGTACCTACCCCTTATTTTGTTACTTTTTTTCTCTGCCGCCAACAATTGCTTACAAAGAAGTCTCTGGAATCAGATATAATGGCTTATAATGCTAGATGTGCCTGAGACTTACTTCTCTCGTAGATTATTTTTTTTCTTCAAAGTACAAATCATTTGTTCTTTGGTTGCTCTTCCGCAGGTAAAGTTTAAGTTAGAAAATTTTCATTTCTGTAAATTAGACAGGCAGCAAAGAGATTGAGTCCTAAGTAGTGACTTCACCTTATCTGTGGGTTGCATCAGTCGCTCATGTTTACCATGTGGAAAGAGAGGCATGCATGGATGCATCTGAGTCTGACTATGTACC